AACAAGCTCTTGGTTTATTATGTTTCTTTGATACCAAAATTTAGAAATCTGGGAGCTGAAAGAAAAATTCTCGAATTTCGTGAATATATTAGGAAAATATAATAAAAGAGGAGGTAGTACGAAAATTGTAAATATTCACTTCCCTTTTTCCTCTAATAAAATATATTCAAACTAAGGATATCAGGAATGAAGGGAAAACGAGCAGGTTATAATATAAAGTCTGTGTTGAATAATAAAAAAAGTATTTTATTTAACTTTATATTACGTTTTACATAATACAATACTTAAAGGAATTGCAATGAATATAAATTACATGTATACCAATAATTTAAAATATCCTATATAAGAATAATAAACATATATGCAATATAAAATATATAAATGTATAATATAATATATAAAATAAATATAAGAAGATAAAAATTTGCGGAAGAACCACTGAAAGAATCAACCAAAATTATAGTTAACATTTATTAAATTGTACCACGTCAAAGAAAATTCGCACAGAAATAATATCTGCATCGTTTAAAAGTGTGGACCGTTCTCTTCAATTTACATAATTGCAGATTGTGTTATAACCTTTTATCTCCGAGTTATTTAATGTTGAGGCAAAAATGATACTTTGAGTATGATCGCTTGCAGTAAGCTAACGAATCAGTATACAACATTTGCCAAGCAATAAATAAAAAGCTGAAAGTTTTTTCTACAAATTGCGTATATCATATTTTTGATAAAAATTAATTTTCACTGCAAAAACTCGCCTGAAAAATTAAAGTGAACATTGAACGGTTGCCATTTTTTATTTAACTTGTTTTATCTCAACTATAAACAATAGCAATATTATAAGTTCAATATGCTTCGAAAGCATATACTTTAAACTCTAAATCCTTACCGATTCATTTTGCTATCGTTATTTTTGCTGAAGTTGAAAGCCCGTTGAATTTCACCTATATTCCAAAATAAAGGTCAAACAAAGGCTGACCAGCCTTTGAGTCGTACTACTTGAGAAATAAAAGCGGCGACTGACTTTACTGTTGAGTCGTATCATGACCTCAATTTTTTATGTACCATACATGAAAAATGATACTATATAAGATGATAACTGTGCACTATAAACTTTATATCGGACAAAGAATCCATTGGTTTAGGACGAACTCTTTGAAAATTTGAAAAATCTGCTCCCAGCTTACCTTAACATTCGCGTCCAATTATTGGAGAGCCTCTCTCTCTCTCTCTCTTTCTCTCTCTCTCTATTGGCTATCGCCGAGAGTACTTATGTCGTCTGCTCGCTCCAATCACGCGATGCGAAGGCGCTACATTCGGCATGTATGGTGGCGGCTTGCAGCGGCGACTTCGGGACTAAAAATCAATATCACTACCCATTACCCAAAACACTATCCTTCTTCAACCGACATTTTTATCGACTACTTAGTCAAGACTCAGTTCCAGAGTCCCCGCTACGAGCCGCCACTGTACATGCTGAGAAATAGAGATCGTGGTACTGTCTATATTATATCATAATTAGTAAACTTTTTTAAGTAAAATAAGAAAAAGATGTTAACAATTGGCTCGAATAGACTTCCTATATTTTATACTCTTTTGTACACATTTTATATGAAATAAAAAAAATGAGTAGTATGACTCAAAGACTGGTCAGACGCACTTTTCTCTCGTATTTAAACATGGGCCAAATTCGACAGTCTGCAACTTCGGAATGAACGAAAATGGACGATAGCAAAATGCTTCTGGTGATACTTTAAAGCTTGAAATCTCTGCTTTACAAAAATAGTAAATTTATAACGTTATTGTCGCTAATCGCCAGCATATACTAAGTTAAATGAATAATGGCGACCGTTCGACTTTCACTCTCACCTTTCAGGTGAGTTTTCACATTGAAAATTAGCTTTCGTCAGAAATACGATACGTACATCTCAAAGAGGAAACTTTCAGCTTTTTATTCATTGCTTAGCGAATGTTGTACACCGATTCGTTAACCTACTGCGAGCGATCAAAGACAAAGTGCCATTTTTGCTCCAACATGGAATAAGGTGAAAAAAAATCGCATTACAATTCGCAAGGATACAAAATAAAGGGGGAAGCTTCACGCTTTTCCAAATAACATAAACTCCATTTGTCTGTAGTCTTTTGTTCACGCGGCACTAATGGGTAAACTTGACGAAGATCTCGCACTTAACGGGTCTCAACTTGCATTCGGGTGACATTGTAAAATTAATTATCTACAGTACTGAGGCGAATATTAATCGAAACATCGTTCGGGCAGAAGTAACGTTGTAAAAAGAAAGATAAAACAATCGATACTTCGCTTCGGAGTTTTGCTTCCGCGTCGTGAAACCCGCGACTGATATCGGGAATGGCCGGTTCAAGTACTACATGATGACCTTCGCATAGATTTTTTTATTACGAAACGTTGCTTGGCGATAATGATTCTTAGCATAGACAGAGAATCGTTCTCCGGAAAATACAAAGTATCCTTCTTTTATATGTCGTTTTAAACAAAACTATAATTGTTATCTAGTCCAGAATATTCACCCACCTCCGAGACGCAGGCGATGGGTTTGTTTGCTTCATAAAAATCTTAAATATTCATCGCCGCGGAAACACCTCGGGGCTCAGCGAGCCGATCGCGCGTGAGATCGTTTCGCTGGCAATCAAAAGGCGAACAAATTCAACGTTCATCGGCGGCAAATATTCTATTGTCACGTACGAGTATGCGTAGTAGGGACGATTGTAAGTGCTACCAGCGACATAACTGTTCTGCGAAAAATAATTGCGCCGGAGAAAATCGACGGAAAATTTCAGAATCGCTGCGAAATCGAATTCCCGATCCGCCCGCGAAGCTCAATGATCGGACCGTCTTCTCGTCGTGTCGAATGTATATACAAATTTTCCGTATCGCTATTTTTTTCTTTCACAGTAAATTAATCAAACCATTTTGGTTTTCAACGCGTATATGCCGCACAGAGAGAAAGGTTTCTTGGGATCTAATAAAATTTCTTTAATTTGAACAAATCCTTTGACGCGGATGAAGCAAATGAACGCGGGAATTTGATTGAACAAACAGAATTGTTTGGTTTCTCAAACAGTCAAATATCTCGACGTCAAATGACACATATTTCATTTGTATTTTCGTCCAAACATCACAATGGTTGTCACAAGCAATAAATTGTTTGGAAGAAGTGACACTGTGTTAAAGAAAAATAAAAGGACTTTGTTTTAATACAACGATAACTGATATATAATGAAATTAATGTTTTGCATTGGAAACCAAACATTATTCCTCTAAATAATACTGTTCTCCCTTTTTTATCAAACAACACAGTTTATTGCAGTGAAACAACAACATATTCGTTCGAACAAAATGATATATTTAATATTAAATTACGTTATTTATACCGAAGAAACCCAAGTCGAGCAAAAACACACGTACTAAATCCAAAGAAACCCTTTTCGCTGTGTAACGCGACCTCATTAGGCAATTAACTACTTTTCTTACAATTTTCAATAGTTCCCGCAAGAAGAAAAAAGACGGAGCTCGATCTCCTCTCGCGACAAGAAACGGGAAAGTGCGACTCGGGGACTCGTCGGGGATTCGAGACGTCGAGCCTCGCTCGCAGTTCGATTTCGCAGGACGGATTTCCGCGCGAATTTCTCTCATACACAAACACGATCTTAAAGTATATATATACATATATATACATATATATATATATATATAGCATATATATATATATATATGCTACAATCCCCACGATGCATGTACAGCGAAAAAATATCAAATCCGGGGTTTCTAAAGGAGTAGTCAGCACGCGGCCACTTTATATCGTGACTTTACATCCGTAAACGCTACTTGCATCATGTATTTACACGGATTTCGGCTATACGTTCTCTCTATTCTTCGCAACAGCGGTGTGCAATTATGCGATTTTTTTTTTTCGCGGCCCACTACTGCCGGCTACGGTGACGACGGCTAACATCTTCATTATCGGCATTATTAATCTTACGCACCAGAATTCGCCGGTTTCGCGAGAGAGGCGACATTTGCAGCGTACAATCTCCCGTCGCGCTCGCTCGCTCGCTCGCGCTATTATTCGCTACTACAGGTTGAATCGGCGCGTCGGGACACTACTGACGCTTTGAAACGCAACGCGACGATCGCGTCTCTCTCGTCGCGACGGACTAACTACGAGGACAGTCACCTCAGGGCTTCCTTAAAACTCCTCCGAGAGCGGAACCCTTCGACGCGATTCGTCTCGGCTCTACACACCAACGCGATCTTCTCTGAAAATGTGTACCGTACGTGTGTGTATATATAT